ACAAGATTATGTAGTAAGAATTCATGGCTGAGCACTATAAAATAGATCTCAATTCTATTTATGCTGTGATACATAAGGGAGTAAATCTGCCCCTGCAGTGATGTGGTGGGATGGCATGTAGGAGCTTTTTCTGTTAGACATCAGAATAGGTAAATAGCTTCCATTTGTTTGTTGTAATGCAGATATTATCTTTCAGGACTTTAAAGACATTGACAGGAGGCAGATGATGGCATGACTGTCTTCTTTTGCCTGAGCCCTGTGGAAAAACTTACATTGTTGCTCTACTGCATGAATAAATTGCTGTCTTGGAACCTGAGTGGCTTAGAAACACCAAAGTGGCTCAAAACAACCCATCAGAGACATCTCAACCGTCATGTTTGTATGTAAATACAGCACACACCCAGAATGATCCAAAAATCAATTATTTTCAGTGTTAGAGGACTGCACAAAAATGGCTTGAACAGCTACTGAATACAATTTAAAGTGGTGCTGTCGGGTCAAACAACTGGGCTTTCTTTTCTTGCCATGTGTGCGAATTCAGATCATTTGAATTGAGTTGTTACTCTAGAGCAAGTTAACATGACAGCCATACTCAGCTGTATGCTAATACTGAACTGGGAAGCAGAGTAATTCTCTAACTTCATTGAAGTTACCCTGGATTTATACTAACATAAAATGAGGACCTTGGTCTCTAATCTTCCCTGAAGTATGCTGTATGCATTTTAGTGTTCCTTAGGAATTAACAGAAATGTCAGTCATGCTTTAGCAGGGCCTAAAAATGCCTCCTAGTTAAATGGATTGTCACAGAAATGCTCAAAATGTGAAAGGACATGTAACTCCAATATTTATACTTAGGTGAATGGCCATGCTCGTACGTGAAGTCTCTCTTGAAAAGTGATGCCCTAATCAAAAGAAAACACAGTTTATCACCCTTGAGACTACAGCAGTGTTCTTTAACATAGACACTATGTAAATAAGGAAGATACTGAAAAACATTTTGTAAGCCATTTCTAAATTTGAATATCTTTGATGTCAGTGGCCAAAATCAGATCCCCTAAATAAGGTCCAAACTGTCTCTGACTGAGCGAGCAATACTGCCAGTAGTTTCTGCAAACCTTGGCCGCTGTGCTATTGATGAAATGTAGAATTACTTAAGTAATTTTGCATTAGATTCTATGTCTGCTTGAACTGCTCTGCTGTATACACACAACATATATAAGATGAACAGAAATGTAATATATAATCTTTCTTATTGTGGAAAGCTTCAGATCTAGTGTGTTTCTTCTATCAGCATCAGCAAGTCCTCTTGTTTCCCTTTTTTCTATTGCAGTGTAATGCAAAGAGAGTCTGTATTATTCTGACATGGATCTCGATATGGATACAGATCTTTCATTGAGTACATTGCTTAAAATCTTTGTTAGGGGTGGAGAAGTGCCCATTTTGTTTGCAAAATTTCTATTAGAAAAAATGATTTGAATAGTATTTATGGATCTGGATATGTAGATATGGTAGTGGGTAACTTTAAATAATTAGGTGCTAATTAGTCTCTCTCTTTTAAATAGCTTCAATTGTTCCATCATTTATTTAGAGTTTGCACTTGTCCCTTGTTTTGCTTATGAATGTGAATTATCAGACTCCGTTCCAGAGATGCATCTAGCTCTTCAACTACTCTGCATGTAGCATACAAAGGAAAAGAAAATGATTGAATTGCTGCTCTATGACCCTATTCTTCTCCAAGGAGACTTGAAGTTCTCTCCAAGGGCCTGATGTTCTGTATTCAGAAGCCAAGCAGTTCTCTTTGTGTTCTTACAGTCCTATTGCTACAAAACCACACTAATAGGAGGCTCCTGCCTCAGATCAGCCGTGCTGCGGGTGGTTAGGATTTCATAGGGACTGTCTTTGTGCCTGTAGGACTGTGGAACTTACTGTGCAATGTGACGCACTGAGACAGGCTTCTAGTTTATGGCCTTCCACACATGTACTTATTGAAAGGCTCTTACTGACACTCTGTTTTAAGAGACCTGATGCTTTCCTGCCACGATTAATGTAATTGGGTAGTTAAAATTTATTGAGGTTTCTTGAGCTGCATATCCTTGGTGCAAATGAGGTTGCCCAGATCCATACCAGTGAACGCTTAGAACTGTGTATAACACCCATGTTTTGATCTCATTAATGCTATAAATCAAGTTTGTAAAGTTCTGTATCTAATGTGTTTATTTTCTGTCACCTACACCTTGATTTTCTATGCTTGATAATTATTTTTCAAGTTTTGCAATGCACATCTCCAGGCTGTTTTCTGGATATTTTTGCAATTAGTTTAATGAACTTTGCTTAGGAGTTGCTATGTGATTAACAGCCATTACCTTCTTGGATTGCCAATTTTGCAAATCACCTAGAGATTTCATGTCCTGCAATTAAGATTTTTTATTCACAGCATAAAGCCAAAACACTGTTTGTGGCAAATTCACGCAGCTAATGAACAATATGAGGGAGCTGGTTGTGGTTATATGATGAAGAGAGATCCTGGCAAATCAGAGGGCCATTACCTACCACATGAAGTTCAACAAGAGCAGTACAGGATTCTGGGATGGGGCAACCCTGGATAAGTGCACAGACTGGGGGACAAGGGGCAGGAAAGGAGCCCTGCAGATGTGTAAATTCTGGCTGACAGCAAGTTAAACATGAGCCAGCAGCGTGCCCCTCATCCCAAAGGGACAACCAGACCCTGGGAGGGATCAGGCCCAGTATTGCCACCAGGTGAGGGGAAGGGTTGTCCTCCTCTACTCTCTGCTGGGTGGCCTCTCCTCCAGCACTGGGTGCAGTTTGGGTGCCACAGTATAGAAAGAACATAAAACTATTAGAGAAGATCCAAAGGAGGGCTATGATGACAATGAAGGGACAGGAAGATAAACATATGGGGAACAGCTGAGGTCCTGTGGTTTGCTGAGCCCTGAGCAGAGGAGCTGAGGGGAGCCCTCATGGCGGCTGCAGCTCCTCGCAGGGAGCGGAGGGGCAGCGCTGAGCTCTGCTTTGTGTGACAGCGACAGGCAACGGCACGGAGCTGCATCAGGGGAGAGCAGCTGGGGTCAGGGAAAGGGTCTGCACCTGAGGGCGGTGGGCATGGAACGGGCTGCACAGGGTCACAACTCCAAGCTGTCAGAGTTCAACGAGGGTTTGGACAGCGCTCTCAGCCATAGGGTTTCATTCTGAGTGGTGCTGTGTGGAGCCAGGAGTTGGACTTAAGTGATCTTTGTGGGTCCCTTCCAACTCGGGATGCTTTGTTATCCTGTGACACTGTCATGCTCCGTCCCTCTCAGCAGCTTCCAGAGCCAGAGATGTTACGGAGTTCCGTGGTTTGCCTGGATTTGTTGCCAGCGCATTACCCCTTCGTGTCGGCAGGGTTCAACGGCTCATTCTTAATACTGGAGAAGGAACGTGCCGCCACTCGACCCGCAGCGAATCTTCGCTGCCGCTCCCGCCAGCGGTTCCCACAGCGGCTGGAGGCGGCGGTTGCCGCCGCGCGCTGCCGGCACTGCGCCCTCCCGGCGGAGCCGGGCACACCGCTCGCCGGCCCGGCGCCCCGCTCCCCGGGCCGCAGGCTGAAACCGGCGCCCCGGGGGGCGGCGGGGCTCGGCGCTCCCGGTGGGGCCGCGGCGTGGCGGTGGCGTGCCGGCAACCTGCTGGCGGCCGAGCCCGGCCCCGCC